AGTCTGTTAGAAATATTCTTTTTGACGCACGTGTCCAATTTCTGACCTATATGGAGGATCTGACTAACTTTATCTTGGTGTTGAAAATCCGAATCTTCTTCTTTATGATGCAAGGTGCAGATTTCCAAAGTGATTTCAGAGTGATGAATGTCCGCCTTGCTTTCTGATCCCATCTGGCTTTGACATCCTCATGCATGTTGTCACCTGTAGTTCAGTCGATGGTGCCTAGATAGGTGGAAGAAGTGACCTCTTTCAAATTTCTTCCGATAATATTGACTGGTGCTTGTTGTTGTTGTTGTTATCGGCTGATTATTCTCATTACCTCTGTCTTCTCTACATTCACCTGGAGTCCTGTCTTCTCTTCATCTTCCGCCAACTTGTCGGTTTTTGACCGTAGATCTTCAAGTGTGTGTGTGTGATACTGAACCTAAATCATCTGCGAAGTCCAGATCCTCAAGGGTCTTCTTATCGGTTCAATGTATTCCTGTCTTTCTGCTTACCACAGTCTTCCATAAAACCCAGTCCATCACAGTTAAGAATATCATTAGTAATAGTATGCAGCCTGAGTTTTCCTATATGGATCTCATGACACGTAACCTGTACGTGAGTGATAGAATCTACGCCAACTACACACTTGGTGCAACCGACAATTAGCTGCTAGTAAGCCTAGCTAACAAGAGAGGTTGGTTGTGGGGCTATCAACTCCATCCCGGTTAAAAATAAGGATAAGCCCACTGCTACTGAAACTTGAAAGCTGAAGGTCAAGTCTTCCTGTTTCACTTGGAACTCTAGGAAATTAAGTAACAGTAATAAAAGGATAACTTGAGACTTTTAATTAATGCTAGTAGTAATAACAATAATGAAGGGGTTTTAATCCGTGGTTAATATCGTTTTCCCTCAAGTTTTAATGTCCAATTACCCTGAAAATTTTGATTTTGTTCATTATCTATTTTGACAACACAGATATTAATGCTACAGTTTAGGTAATCTGTACAACAATCAGTGCAGGTGTTTTATGCTGATATACAACACTAGCTGGACGTGATATCGACTAAGTTTCGAAATGAAACAAAAACATATTTCTTTCTGTAACATTTGTTAGAGTGATTATTCCTCGTAGCTTCGCTCAATAAATGGATAGCTGTCTCGTCTTTGTGTGTGTATGTGCATGTGTATGCAATTATTATCTAAGGTGTGGTCAAATCAAAGAAATCAGGCTGGAATCCAAAGACACATTAACTGAATACGACATTTTTAATGGGACCCTCAATGGTTATGGACTCAGTCTTTCACGACCTCGTAGCTATGATTGACTGATTGATTTTCAGCATAGAACTTTGCACAGAAGTGCAAAAGTTTGAGTTACCCACACTCCATGTAGTACACAAAGGAAGATAACATATTTTGAAAAAAATTCGAAAAAGAAATAACAAGCGGAGATGCGAGGGAGAAAGAATAGTAACATGGAAAAACAATTTGGCTGTTTTGGACTTGACAAATCACAACGAGTGAATGCATCTGCGCCAACCAGTGAAAACAATTTTGAGCCATATACCCAACTGTCTACAGCCGTCAGTTCCTACCATCTCGAAGACCATTACCAGACTATCTACACTTTCTTACGTGACTGGCTCAAACTAAATGTTGTGGATCTCATGGATTGATACCGTTTTTTCGTTTTTAACCAACACTAGCTTACTTCCAATCTGATCATATGTCAGCTAACATTACTCGTCGAAGAAGGTGATGGATAGGCATGCTTAACACATGTCCTAGCTATCTCAATCTTCATCGATTGACTTACTCTGTTTAACAAACACTTTATGTCTAACCTGAACAATACTCACCCTAGTACACCACCTAAAAAGGTAGATAGAACACAAACACCTATGGTGAAAGACAGCTTAACTTCTCATATCTTCCACTTCTTATAACCATCTCTTACAGTCATAAAGAAGAACAAAGTGAACTGGTGCACAGCAGATTCGTCCTTTGGTTGACAGCCAGATATCATGTCTACAACAGAGTTGACGTGAGTTGACAGATGCCACACGAGACTTTTATTTTCATGTTGAAGTTTCAACATCAACCAGCCCGTTGGGGTTGATGCAAAACCATAATATGTGAATCGTTCAGTACACTCTACTACTTCACTTCCTATATGTAAGCTAACAATCGATGGAGCTGAGTCCTGTAGCATCATTTGACCTTTGACAGAAACAAAAAAACTATGTTTCTTGAAACAGTCCCAAATGAAAATTATAAAGCCACTACGGACAGCTTTTCAATTGTCATTGTTGATTTAATTGACGTCGTTTTTACAGAAAAGTTTGTAAGAACATGAAATTTGCAGCTGATATCCTTCACAGAAATACAGCATGCATTGGAGTTGTCGAATACACCGCTTCCAGTCAAATGATAGAAGAAACATGAGCATAAATTATGTTGATTTTGAAGTGCAAAAAGATCATAAGTGCTACATCTGTGACAGCGTAAACACTCCACTGATGACACTTGCATGAGTATACTCCAACCTTCTTGAATACTTCTACGAGAAATGGTTGGCTACCCAATTCATATGACATTTTTTCTGAAAAAACCAACAGATATTTTCTGTTGAAGGTTTGAGTTTCCTAAACACGCACAAAATATTGCACTACACACACCTAAACGACTATAATTCAAATGTGATTTACCAAGGGAAATAATCATCAACAAGTTGAGAAAATCAATCCATAAGGCGTTTAATTTCGGCAAGATGTGGCTTGTACTCTCCACAGTATCGGCTGTAATTCGAAAAGTGAAAGACTAATTTTCTAGACTAGTCACCTCTGATGGTGTTTATGAATTCAACTGTTCCTCGTGTGAAGCCAGCTATACTGACAGTTGCTCTAGGAACTTAATGCTTTGTGCAAGGGAACATCCATCGATATGGTTAAATAAAAGTGTTGTTAAAACTCTCAACAGTTCTATATTAAATAAGCTCGTCCAAACAGACCACGAAGCCACCTGTTGAAGTGTCTTTCTCTATCATCTATCAGGTATCAAATAAATTACCAAAGGTCTCTAGATACTGAACACTGCAAACAGCAAAGGGTTATTGCGATTCGCCTGAAATAACCAGCCACTGTCTCTACCCTGACCTGCTATCAAACCCATAAACTCACAAATTTTCTGTTACTTTCCTCAGTTTATCTGGTATTCAATCAGTTTTGGTGTTACATTACTGCCCTTTATCTCTCTCTTACTGAAACTTTTGAAATGCAATCTGTCGATGCTATTGACTGATTAAGTATAATTTCAATCATGGATTTGTTCATTAACAAGTCTGGAAGATTTGAAGGCTCAAATGCCAGGCAATTCACAGTGGAAAGAAAGCGCGTGTACATTCAACTTGATTTTAAAGGTGAAAATATTACAGCCATTGTCAATCGAAGACTGAGGACATCACTCGGCAGAGCCAATCCTGCAGCTAAGCTTATATTCCCGTCTATCGAACAACAGGCTCTTTGGTGCAATCAAAAATCGACAGATATATTTTTCAGGTTAACTCCAACCGTATGAACAAAAGGTATATACAAAAGAAAAAAGGGTACGCCTCCGATTTTCTGATTATGGACCAATAAGCGTATGTCTGAAGAGAACAAATGATTTAAACAGAGCCAATGCTAGGCATCTCCTTGACAAGAGTCATAAGGTGGACGTCAGAAGATCGTTCAAAATTATCAATAGGCAAAAGAGTTCAGCTCTCCTTAAGTATGCCATAGCAATCTCCATCAAGCGCCTGAAACCCGATTTATATGTTCAGAAAGAAGGGATTATCAGTCAGGCCTGCTTGGTAGCTGGATATTTTCACCCTCTCTTTCATCTGAATACGTAATGCTGGAAGTTTCCATTGTGTATGATCATTATTGTTAGGGATAAAGTGTTTGTTATTATAATTATTATATAGGTTATTACTGTATGCATGTATTGACTGACTGATTTTTGTTTAAAAATGAACTCTATGCAAGTATGTTAAAATTGTTTCTAGGATTTCGTCATGAGCTGACATTGGTTAGAGCAGCATTGGAAAACCTGGGAGTACTGGACAGCTGTTTCGCCCTAGTTTGTGACTTTTCTGCGGTACTCACCCTCGGGGTTCAAACCCAACACTTGAATATCGATAAGATGCTCACTAGCGACTTGCCCTATTCAGGTAGGTAGTTACCTGGGGTTCTGGTGAGAAGTCGTGACTAGTAGGGAGCAGCAGGTCAGGTGTGAGGACAAATACTCACCGAAGATATTGGCTAGGGGTCACGCTATGTCGTGAATTGGCAGAAGTTGGAATTCATGGGCTGGCCATTGGATCAGGTCCCAGTGGCTTAATGGTATACGAGCTCGCCTTGTAACTTGAAGGTCCTGGGTTCAAACCTCGGTGGGTGCGTACTGATGTAGAATCCCAAACTAGGACGAAACAGCTGTCCAGTACTCCCTGCAGGCTTTCCAATGGTTCTCTAAGTGATGTCAGCTCATGATGAAATCCTGTAACCAATCAATCAGATGCCTACGAACCAACTCTTGAAATTTGTTCTTTGTAGATAAACTTAATAATGACTTTGCCCTGTAAGCAGCTCAGCTGATGATAAGTCAAAGAAATAACATAATGATGGTACCATTTTATTTTACAAAAATCCACTGTTGTTCTGACTTTATTCAAATTCCTTAAGGGGAATAAATGTGTGAAATTTTAATCATGAATGTTGTGAATAAGAATATTTCTTTGGATGTTACTGTCACATAAATATAGAATCTGATAACGAATTTATTTTAATGAATATTCTCCATTCATTACTATTCAGTCATTTAAATTTTTAATAGGCATCTTCAGTTAGCGAAAACTTATATGCATGCTTTTCAATAGACATACTCATAATTTCTAATATCTTAAAATGTACGTTAATCAATAATAACAATGATAATCGTGTTTCTTTTTTTCTTTTTTTTCCCTTAATATTTAGGGTATTCCTATTGGTTTGTCATCATCTATTCCATATTTATTACAATCAAGTTATTATACAGGAAGTTATCAAGCACAAGCAAAATTTTCATTAGTTTTTTGGCCATTTTCATTTAAATTAGTTTGGGCGCCAATTATTGATTCAGTATATAGTACACATATTGGACGTCGTAAAACCTGGTTAATACCAACACAATATGCTATTGGCATTGAATTAATTATTTTAGCTAATTATATTAATCATTGGCTAGGACGTGATCCTAATAATCCATGGAGTCCATTAGGTACACATCATCCAATCGATATAATTAGTTTAACAATTGCATTTTTTGCATTAACATTTCTTGCTGCAACGCAAGATATTGCAGTTGATGGATGGGCTATATCAATTCTATCTAAGTAAGTTAAAGATATTTTACCCTAATTATTGTTATTGTTATTATTGTTATTATTATTCCCTTGAGTTCCGAGGGGAATATAAGGCTCCAACAGAACAAGCTCATTTCAGCCTCTTCTCTGCATTCCTTTTTATGTGGCTCTATGAATGCCCATAGTCTCTCATCTCCTCTTTCTCATACGCTCTCTACCATATCATCTCGTCGTTTCCTAATCACCTGCTGTTCGAGAGAATGGTCTGGCACACGATGCCAGTCAACGGTTTTCTCAACGTTTATCCAATCCATCTCCATTTACTTCATATGTCAATATGACGAGATAATAATTATTAACTTAGAAAACAAAGTCTGTGTTACGACAGGTGCCCCTGATTCAGCTTCGATTATTATTTTTTCCAGTAAACATTAATGTTATTTAAGTGTTGGTTTGTAGGGATTTGATTGGTTACAGGATTTTCATCATGAGCTGACATTAGTTAGAGGACCATTGGAAAACCTGGGAGTACTGGACAGCTGTTTCGTCCTAGTTTGGGACTCTTCATCAGTACGCACCCACCGGGATTCGAATGTTATTTGTCCAATTAGTTTTCAAATAATTTACTTACTCCATGGTAGATCTTGTTTTGACAAAATAAAATGTTCAAGAGTTAATTTGTAGGGATTTGATTAATTTTCAAGTTTCATTATGGATTGATATTAGTTGGAGAACCCTAGGAAACCCTCAGAGAGTACAGGTCACCTGTCTCATCCTAATAGGAGACTCTTTGGAATTATGCAACTACCAGGATTTGAGCCCAGGACCTTCAGGTTATAAGGCAAGCTTGTAGGCTACTGGAACCTGATTCAGTGGGCCATAAGTTCCAACTTTTACCAACTGATGATTTTAGTGAGTATTTGTCTTCACTCCCGATCTGATGAACTCCACTGGTCAACGAATATGTAACTGGCATTAATCTGTGAACAAATCAAATCCACACAAATTAACTCTTGAAAATTAATCTGAGGATCACTAGCACTTGATAACAGCAACAAGGTTTTCTGAAGTTCTAGTAAAAATTCGTGTCGGGTGTGAGAATACTGGTTCGTGGTTGGCGCGATAAAATCCCAAGCTGATAGAAGTTAGAATTCTTCAGCTAACCATTGAGTTGGGTCTCAGTGGCCGAATTGTCTGAGAGCTCGCCTTATGACCTGAAGGTCCCTGGTTCGAACCCTGGCGGTGGGTGTGTACTTCTGAAGGGTCCCGGAGTGAGATGAAACAGCCATCCAGTAAGTACTACGTGGTTTTCAACAGTTCTCTAAATATTATCATTCCATGATCAAAACGAAATAAAATAAAATAATTTCCGGACGTTTTATCATATATCTTTCTGTCTTGGAGATAACTTTAAGTTTTCTAGCTAAAATAATAACTGAGCACTTATAGTTAATGTTCAAAATATCACAGATCTACAAAGGATTATACTGTTATTCCACTGAGAATAGTCAGTTGAATATGGATTAAGAAAAAAGCACAAACAGCGAAGAAAATTTTCTTTTCGACGGTTCATTTTCATGAGTTGTACAATCGTAATTATAATTAACAAAGAAATCTTTAGACCAATCAGATACTGACAAATTTTGTCCTTGGGAAATTGTATCACATAATGTAAGGTGTAAGAAGGGATGACTAATTGTAAGTTAGAAAGGAGACAGAAGTTGGCGTGACGTAATAAGTGTGAGATAATGACTAATCAATAAGCTTGTGTAGAACGGACAGGAACTAGTGGAAAGGCTATAAAGTGTTTTTGTGTAAAATATGTATGAAAAGCAATGTTATTAATAAACAGTAACAGAGTGGTAATATATTGTGGATGATGGGAATAATAATGATAATAAAAGTATTTATAAAATAAAATAATAATAGTGAACTTACATAATAAAGGAAAGAAGCAAAATTGTGGTAAGAAATTTACTCTGACCATGGCAGGGCAAGAGAATGTATGTACCGCTTTTGGATGCAGAGGTCCGGTTTCAGATCTCGAATAGCTAATGCTTCAGCTATGTACAGATGGCGTATCCGAAGTCCCTTTGTACGATATTGAGGGACTCTGTGTAACACTGTGAAGCATTCATGTTGGGGTGCTCGATGTCCAGAGATGACAAGGTGTTCGAGGATCGAGCTGTTGCTATTCTTCTTTTCTCTTCTGGATAACCAAGCTGGGCAGTGTTCCAGAATACGTTTGTGAACTTGACGTTGCGTACGGCCGATATACTTTGCTTCACGCGAGCAAGTAAATTGATAAATACACATTGAAGTGGCCAAAAGTGGTATCTTGTCCTTAGCGTTAGACTGGATTAACTGTCTGCAGGGGAATATGATACGTAGAGTGGTTGTTGGAAATGTCTTCTTCAGACATTTAGAAAGGCGGTTTCTGAGAATTTCCGCTGCGACATCACCTTTGAATTCTAGGTTAATGAAGAGAGTCTTCTTAGGAACCGCTGCGATGTTTGACACCGGAGGCTTCTCCTTCATGTTTTTGTCAATAAATCTTGGTGGATACCCATTCTCTAGTAGGGTTTTACGTAATAAATTTAGTTCTTTCTCTACCATGTCTTCCGAGCAGATTTTTCTAATCCTTGAACACAACGTACGTACCAGGTTTCTCTTTTGGATTAGTTAGATGATGAATTTTGAAGACTATTGCTTTACACTGTACTCAGAACACACACGCCGAACTATCACTTAATTAATACTCATACAATATGTGCAATAGTGTCTTTGATGTGTACTATTCAAGTGTTTGATCATTATAAGCAAATAAATGTAAAGTCTCCTAATAAAAATAAATCCTAATCTCCATAAGATTATCGCTTATATCCAAATGATACTCGCTGTCAGTAAAATTCAACAAATGTCTTTTTCTCTCTTTCTCAATTCATCACCTAGCTGTGACTACATTTCCATATATGATGGAATGGTGTTTTAGCCGAGTCATGAACTCACAAGTCATCATTTTAAACGCCAGAGCATTTTCGTGTGGCAAATCGAATTCCATCGTCATTCCGAACACATGAGTCAGCAAACAGATCTGTGTCCTCCTGACTTCATTTCAAAGCTGTACAATTAAATAAGGAGTTTTTATATATATACAATGTAGATTAATTAGAGAGGTCAAAGGTCATCATCAGTTAGTTACAAAATAAATCAAAGTGTATGAGTAATAACAAAGTTTTTTTAAAACAAACTGTATATAAACATGCTTAATCAAGAGCGTGTTGACAAATAATTAGTTGAGTAACAGGATTTCATCATGAGCTGGCATTGGTTAGAGAACCATTGGAAAACCTGCACAGCTGTTTCGTCCTAGTTTGAGGCTCTTTGGCAGTGCGCACCCCCCGTGGTACGATCACAACACCTCGGTTCTGTAACCAATATCAGCTCATGATGAAGTCCTGTAACAAATCAATCGAATCCGTAAAAACCAATACTTGAAAATTAGTTGAATGATGAATAGTTGATGAGGAAAAATAGAGAGAAAAAAGGATTGAAAATATGTCTCAAAAGCGTATGGAAATAATGAAAGGTGGAGTACACAGAATTTATTATACAATTATTCATGAAAATGATAAAGGAAGAATGGAGAGTACTAAGACTGTGGTGGTAAAAGATGCTGGATAAAGCATTTCTGAACATGAAGTTCAGGTTCATACCTAAGAATCGATAAGGCTTCGTCTGCATGAAGACGATGTAGGCTAAACCATCTTGAACGACTTGTTCGTACTTTATATATATATATATAGCAATGAAGTTTGTATTGATTCTGCATGATCAGAAGTGATAATACGCTCCAGAATTGGCCTGTTGACTGCTCCGCATTCTTCTTTTGACAACCATGCTGATAAGTGTTCATGGGCGCGTCTAGAAAATGTCCTGTTTGTTCGGCTTGTGTATTTAGCTCCACATGAGCAGATGAGTTGTTAAATGGTCACTGAAGCTTGTAAACTTGAAACCATTTGATCATTGTTGAAAATACTGACCTAGACATAGTCCTGGAAATCTGCAGCCACACTCATCTGTGTCAGTCAAATTCGAAACTGAAGCAGAATAATTGTATAGTAAGCTCCATGTAGTCCTCTTTTCATTAATTGCACAGATTTTGCGAACTATTTTCAATCTGTTGTTCTCTCTTGTTCCACATCAACTTTTTAAAAACGATTATTCATCACTCAAATAACTATTTGTTGACCCTCTTGATTAAGCAAGTTTTGTTCTAATTTTGTTCTAAAAACTTTGTTATTACTCATACACTTATATTTATTTTGTTACTAACTGACGACAACCTTTGACCTCTCATAAAATGAACAAATTTTTTGTTAGGGTGGTATTAATTCAGAGATAATTGCGAAATCAAAGATAATAAAATACACTAATTAAAGCTTATCAGACTAGAAAACCGTATTTTTGTATGTACGAAGTTGATTGAAAAGATGATTATAATGATGTAATACAGCCAGTAGAATTTGAAGGATCAAAAATTAAGTTTAATATAAAAGTTAAGTGAGAAATGAAGAGTGTGATAGGGGAAACAAAATGATGAATTCAGACAACAAATACTGACTAAGGGTAGAGTTACTGGGATAACTAAAGTCGCACGGCGAATTTCGCTTAATCTCATATGTAAAGAATTTGAGGCAGTTACCAAGTGGGCAGCCGTGACCAGTAGGATACAGCAGGTTGAAGGTGAGGCAGTAACTCTGCGAAGTGGACACTCTATGTCATGAATCGGCAGAAGTTAGAATTTATGGACTGACCGTTAGATCGGGTCCCAGTGGCTGCTGAATGGTCTACGAGCTTGCCTTGTAACCAGAAGGCGCTGGTTTCGAACCCTGGCGGTGGGTGTGTACTGATGAATAATAGTCCTAAACAAGGCTGACGAAACAACTGTCTAGTAGTCTCAGATTTTCCAGTGGTTCTCTGAATGATGTCAGCTCATGATGAAATCCTGCAACCAATCAAACAAATTC